ATGTACTGTGCCCCCCACCTTGGTCTGCCCCTGGTCTCTGAACAAGAGAAGTTTACACTCTAATATCACCCCCGCAGTCACACACTATTGTAATTATACATTTATATACCTCTGACATATACCGCAGTGCTGTACAGAGAACACTGAGCCAACCACATCAGTCTCTGTAGAGAGGAGCTTACACTCTAATGCCCCACCCCCCCCACTATTGTTATACATTTATATAGCTCTAACATATACCACAGTATTGTACAGAGAACACTGAGCCAGCCACCTCAGTCTCTGCACCAGAGGGGTTTACGCTTTAATGTCCCCCCACAGTCACACATTATTATTATTAATTTAGATTGCTATAGCTCTGACATATACCACTGTGTAGTACAGAAAACACTGAACCAGTCACAACAGTCTCTCTCTGCACCAAAGGAGCTTACACGCTAATATCCATCACAGTCACACACTAGGGATGCACCAATACCATTTTGTGCTTTATGTCATATACCTGGCAGTGCACAAATCTGGGGTCCGTTCGTGATATATCAGGTAGGAACATATTGGGGGTCCGCTCTGTGGTATACCAGGCAGGGCACAGATCTGGGGTTCGCTGTATAAGATATTGCAGCCAGGGCACAGATCTGGGGTCCGTTCGTGGTATACCAGGCAGGGCACAGATCTGGGGTCCGCTGTATATGATATAGCAGCCAGGGCACAGATCTGGGGTTCTGCTGTATATGACATAGCAGCCAGGGCACAGATCTGGGGTCCGCTGTATAAGATATTGCAGCCAGGGCACAGATCTGGGGTCCGCTGTATAAGATATTGCAGCCAGGGCACAGATCTGGGGTCCTCTGTATATGATATAGCAGTCAGGGCACAGATCTGGGGTCCGCTGTATAAGATATTGCAGCCAGGGCACAGATCTGGGGTCCTCTGTATATGATATAGCAGTCAGGGCACAGATCTGGGGTCCGCTGTATAAGATATAGCAGTCAGGGCACGGATCTGGGGTCCTCTGTATATGATATAGCAGTAAGGGATGTATCAGACAGGGCACAGATCAGTCCTGTGTGCCTGCAGCTTCACTGGGACAGTCATACATGCAGGAACCTGGAGGGGCCACAATGTGCATGCAGTCATGGCACCCAGAGTAAGCCCCCGAAGGGCATGGAGATACCTTCCTATGTGCCCTTTGTCTGTCCTGCAACCTCCTCTGCTACAACCTCATCCTCCAGCATGCACAGCCAGGGCTACTAACAACTCAGCTGCTCTCCTTACCTTCCAATACTGGGCGGGGCAAGAAACCCATGCAGAAGATGCCCCTTTGCCAACCCTCCGGAGCTACTGCAACCTCCGAAACCCAACACCTGTCCAAAACCCAAAGAGTACCATACTCACCCACCCCCCTGGCAGCAGCACGGCTGTCCTCCAGTAACAGGCACAAGACGTTTCCTCAAGCGATCATTGTGTGGGTTAAAATGGGAGGAACCAGGGCAGTGCTTCATTAACCACTTGAAGACCAGGTGTCTACACCCCCTTCCTGGCCAGGCTATTTTTCAGTATTAAGCGCTGCGGTACTTTGACTGACATTTATTCCGTCATGCAGCGCTGTACTGAAATGAATTTTATACCATTTTTTGGGGACAGATAGAGCTTTCTTTTGGTGGTATTTAAACACCTCTGGGGTTTTTATTTTTTACTATAATTAGGAAAAATTACAGTTTTTTTCACATTATGTTAGGAAACAATTATTATTACCCAATTTTTTGGTAAAATAGAAAAGACGGGGTCATGTCGGGTAAATAAACACCAAACATGTCAAGCTTTAAAATTGTGCGCACCCGCGAAATCACAAAAACTACCATACCCAGAATTGGCCGTAGGTGACGCTTTAAAAGCTTTTACTGCTCATCAGCGTAGTGATATCAGTGATTAATCACCCTAGAATTATTGCTCTCACTCCGACGTTTGCGGCGATATGTAATATGTGCGGCGTAATGGGCGCAATCGTCATTTTCACATGTATGCGCACCCGACGCATGTTTGCACGCACGCATGTATGTATGGGTGGGGACTTTAAAACATTTTTGTGTTTAAAAAAAAAAAAATATTTTTCATGTGACTTTAATTTTTTTCTTTTGTTTGCAACTTTCATTTTTTTTTAAATTTACTTAACATTATTGTTATCACATAGCAGGGCTAAGAAACCCTCTATGGGATAGCAAAGAGGATGTGACAGGTCCTCTTTATGGAGACATCAGGGGTCTCCAAGACCCATAATGTCACCTAGGGACCTGCCCCGCAGCTCAACATCCACACCATCAGTGGCTCTGGTGAAGACCAGACGACCCCTTAGATCCTGCGACTCTGTCACACCTGTGTTTAATTGTGCGGTCACACTGTCCCTGAGTTTACAATTCTTGGTGCTCCAGTGCGCAAATCTACCTCCTCCCAGCCACGTAATACTCCTTGGGTTATTAGGAACAGAAAACCCTCCCTTGAAGACTGCTTTATATCATCCTCTGCTCCAATGCCCCCACGGCTGCCATAATCCTCCTTCTCTTGTGTGATCTGCGGACCCGCAGGAATGGTGTCTGCGTAAAGGGTTTGAGAGGTAAGGAAGTCCTCCTCTTCCTCCCGCAGTTCTTCCTCAAGTGCCCTATCCATAATTCCCCGCAGAGTATGCTCCAGCAGGAATAGTGTCACTATCCCACTAAAAGAGGGATAGGGTCACTGATGCATGCATTGTCCCGGCTCACCATCCTTGTCGCCTCCTCAAATAGTGGCAGTACAGGGCATGCATCCTTTATCAGCAGCCACTGACGGGGGAAAAAAAATCCAAGGTCCCCTGAGCCTGTCCTTGTGCCATACTCACACAGGTTCTCGTTGATGGCCCTCTGCTGCTTCTGCAGCCACTGCAGCATTGCCAAAGTGGAGTTCCACCTGGTGGGTATGTCACAAATCAGACTGGGTGCAGAATGAACGTCTGAAATGGCTGCAGACTTTTCTGGTCTGCCTCAGAAGATCTTGCAGCCCTGGGTACCTGGTTAAGAAACGCTGTACCACCAAATTGAGGACGTGTGCCAAGCATGGTACATGCGTCAACTTTCCCAGGCGTAGGGCCGAGAGAAGGATGCTGCCATTGTCACATACAACCATTCCCAGCTCAAGCTGCCGTGGTGTTAACCACCTCTGGGCCTGCCCCTGCAGAATCTCTGCCCCAGTGTGGCTCCTGTCCCCTAGACCAGGGGTAGGCAACCTTGGCTCTCCAGCTGTGCTAAAACTACAAATCCCATCATGCTTCTGCCTCTGGGAGTCATGCCTGTGGCTTGCAATGCTTTATTGGATTTGTAGTTTCAGCACAGCTGGAGAGCCATGGTTGCCTACCCCTGCCCTAGACAAACCAGCTCAAGCACTGCATGGCATCTTTTTGCTGACCCGTTGTGTAGCCCCTTGACCGCTTACAGTGAACTGCTGGTTCACCAGACAATTCTGCAGAAGAGGCCATTGTGGAGGACGAAGAGGAGGTGGTGGAGCAGACAGATCTCACATCATCAGGTTTTTGTAGGCGTGGTGGCTGAACAAGTTCCAGCACGGAGTCCCCTGGATCGCTCCCAGCTGCAAGCAGAGTTACCCAGTGTGCCGTGAAGGAAATAGAACGTCCCTGACCATGCTTGCTAGACCACGTGTCAGCGGTAATGTGAACCTTGCTGCTGACTGCCTTGTCCAACGAGGCCAAAACACATGATGGTCCTTCCACATGATGGTCCAGAGCTGAAATGGCCTTACGTGAAAAGAAATGGCGTTTGAGAACCTGCCACTGCGGTACAGCACAATTTGCAAACTCACGGAAGGGGACAGAGTCCACCAGATGGAAAGGCAGCAGCTGTAAGGCCAGCAATTTGACCAAGCTGGCATTTAGACGCTGAGCATGTGGATGGGTGGGAGAGTATTTTTTTTTCCCGCTGCAGCAGCTGGGGGCAGCGAAATTTGACTGGAAATCTACAGCTGGTGGGCTGCTGGCAGATTTGGCGGAAGGTCCTATGAAGCCCATTGCTATACCATCATCCCTGTCAGTAGAAGTTGTTGACATGGCATGACGTATAGTGGGGGTATAGATGACAGATGAGGAGCGAGGAGTAGTGTGGCCCTTTCTATGGTGCTGTTGCCAACAGGCTGTGTGGCCAGATGTCTCTTCAAGCAAATGGTACCCAAGCAGCTGATGTTTTTGCCTTGATCCGCTTGAGACACAGGTTGCAAATAGCAATGCTGCGGTCTGCTGCACATGTGCTGAAAAACTGCCACACAGCTGAGTTCTTGGAAGTGTGCTGCGAGACAACAGCACACGGCCCCAGTGCAGCTCTGCCTTCTGATGCAATGGGGAGGCTGCTCATATGGGCTGCCCCTGGAGGACATCCTGCCTTGATGGGGTTATGCCTCCTCACTTTCCTCCTCTCTTCAATCAGGCACCCAAGTAGAGTCAGTGACCTCATCATCATCCCCTCTGTCCCCGTCACTGGAGCCAACCCGGCAGTAGGCTGCAGCTGGGGGAACATGAGTGCCAGTTTGTTGTCCATCATTGGCACCCCCTCCCTCTAGGCTCATGTTACTCCCTTCCTCAACCTCAGAGCCAAAATCAGACCATTGTAATTGCTGTGCATCCTCCAGCAGCATGCCACTGACGGTGTGTTTAAACAATTCAGCTGACTCCTCCATGCATGATGGTGGGGCTAGGGCAGGAGTAGCTGTGGACAAGGAGGCAGAATAGGCCGCTTTAGCAGCTGCGGTGGACTGAGAACCAGTTTGAGCCTGGGTGACGGAGGATGAGGATAGCTTAGTTATCCAATCCACTGCCTCTTCTGTATGATGTGGCTGAATAACACGGCCAGCACCAGATAAAAAGGCCAAGTGTGTCCTGCCTGCAGAGGATGCATCACAACCACGACTTTTGCCTGCAGACACAGAGGCTGCTTGCCTTCTTATTGCTGCATGGGAGCATCTGCCTCTCCTTGTTGGCCTTTCCGACATGATGCTTATTGCAATAATTAACTACTATAATAGACCAGTATGACTGACTGCTATAGTATAGAATGCTGATATAGAGCTCTAATTGATATACAACTCGGATAGAACACTCTCTTAGTTTAACTCCAACAACACACTACGTAGGCCTGCGGTGTAAGCAGCCTTATAAAGTGTGCTGCGGGGACTTAGTGAGCCATGATTGGGCAAAGTGATCATGACTTTGCCCAATCATGGCTCTTACAGATTCCCGAGCCCTGGCTGGGCAAAGTCTTGCGCCTGACCTTTGGTCAGGTGCAAGCCTTTGACCAATTAGGGCTTCACAAGGCGCATTGCCTTGTGCAGTGTTCAGCGGTCGAACAGACTGCCGAACACCCTTATAGTTTGTGTGTTTCAACGAACACACGAACTAGCGATGTTCAAGTCGAACTCACTAGTCACAATCTTCAACTGAAAAATGTGAGAACAAAAGACCAGGTGGTAGCCTTACACTGGGAAACCGATGATTGATTTTTAGATGATCCAGAAACACTTACATAGCCAGTGAAGTATGTATTGAAAGGGAAAGAAAAAAAAAAAAAAAAA